GACTTAGGCGTTCTTCTGGACCCAAAACTTAAATTTGACTGCCACATAATGTCCACTGTCATCAAGGCCATGAGTGTTCTTGGCTTTATAAAGCGTTGGTCAAAAGAATTGGATGACCCTTATACAACGAAATTATTTTTTATCTTCCTTGTCCGTCCTATTTTGAAATATTGTTCTTCGGTTTAAAGTCCACAATGTCAAGTGCATATTGACCGTATTGAGTCGGTACAATAAAATGTCTTCTGTTTGCCCTTCGTAGTTAGAACTGGGATCAAGACATAAGGCTACCTTCCTATCAGAGTAGATTACTATTGCTTAATTTACCTACCCTTGCAAATCGTAGAACAATGCTTGGTACTATTTTTATGCAAAATCTTATAAGAGGTGATATTGATTCTGTAGAACTTGTAAACCGCCTAACTTTCAATGTTCCTGTTAGACTAACACGAAATTATTATCCCCTAAATTTGCCACGATGTACATCTAATTTTTGTCTGCACGAGCCCTTTCGCGTTCTGTGTAATAATTATAACAACCTTTATCATTTAATTTGCACTTCAACTTCTATCCCGGTATTAAAAACTAATATTTTAACTCATTGCTTCATTCTTAGATGCTTCTTTTATTTTCATTTGTGTCCCGTCTCTATTTGTTTTTTGTATCTTCCTCGCGAACTCGTATTTTTTGCCCAAATTGATAAAAGGGCCCCGCGCGTAACAAGCACGTGCTTGGTGTCGTTCGGCCACTTGTTTGTACTGCTCGTAGTGCACCAACGTCCATCATTATTATTATTAAAAAAAAAAAAACTCTTTGATTTTTCCCAAAGTCAAAATGATTTTTTCCAAAAGGTCCCATGCATGATAGTGCATTATGATGGCGTGTATAAAAAATGATCTTTCTATAAAAAATGATCCTGCAAGCAAAGTATGTGCGACCTCTTCTAACCAACACTCTTTTTTATTCTAAGATCTTGTGTCTCCTTTATCGATTTGATGGTGTCCTATTGGTAACACTTGTATCAAATATTTTTCAAAATCAGTACTTCTCATTTCTTTTAACATATGAATAGTCGATGTACCTGCCAGAATTATATATATTGTTTTCGAATTTACAAAAATCTTAAATATGCACGTCTCATCTTCAATATTATCGTAAACACCTACTTCAAACACTATAAATGATCGAGGACAATACCTAGTCTACCAAAAATGGTATTGAAGTGCGATACCCTGCTACGTCAAGCATAACTTATGTAAAAGTGACAAAAAATCGCAAAAAAAAAATTAAATATAAAGACTAAAATAAAATGAATAACCAAAATCAGTTTTGTCAATCCTGCAAGTGTTCTTGCAAAATAATAAGTGGGCAAATCATGTACGCTCGAAGTTGCATAAGCGAAATGCAATTCAACCCCTTAACGGAGGAGTCAAAAAAAATTTATGAGGGATTCAATTACAATACTGCATTACATGTATGTAAATGATGGATCGGACTTAATTTTACCTGAGAATTTCTTGATGGAAGCTGAATTGTCACTGATACCTCAACTCAGCATTCTATTAAAAAGTCATACTTTAGCAAAAGTAAACTTTGAGCTGTTTGCAGAGTATATAGAAAGTGAAATGAAAAGTTTTCAAAGTAAAATGACGATCATGAATAATGGTTCTGATTTAGAAAGTATCTTCCATGAACATATTATGGAAATAATTTCAAAAACTGAAGAATTTAGAGAGAGAGAGACAGTTGATGGTCTCTTTTAAAATTTATTCGCTTGGAAATGAATGTGAATCATTATACACAGATGGCTGGTTCATCTTTCATACCACTATCTCGTTTCCTTTTATCGAAAAATTCATAATATTCCAATTAATTGCTGACCTGGGAAATAAGAAAAAATGTTGCAATACATTATCAGAATTTGCAACAATGTATACAGAATGGGTTAGTCCTGACTAAGATACATAGAGGAGTTCAGTTCTTACAAAAGCCTTGGTTAAAGAATTACAATCATCTAAATACTTTACGAAATGCAAAATGCAAAAAATAAATTTGGAAAAAAAATTTGTTTAATTAATAAATAATTATGTTTGCGGAAAAACAATGGAAGATCCCGAGAGCAGGGTCGATATAAAGCTTGTTAGTACATGGGAAGGTCCGGATAGCACTAAGACTGGACGAAAAGCACTTTGTGCCAAAACTTAAATTTCAAAATCAAATTTTCAAAGTACAACTAAAATTATGATAATTTCTATGCAATTCAAATGAAAAGATTATCTTATATAACTTTTCGTGAAAGTTTGACTTCATATATCGTTTGTGAAAAGCATACGTTTTCCCTTTCGATAATTCTTATACTGCAAATCCCAAATATTTAGGATTTGCAGTATAAGAATTATTGAAAGGGAAAATGTATGCTTTTCACAAACAATATATGAAGTCAAACTTTCACGAAAAGTTACTGTAACGAACTGATTTTGTATGTCTGCTCGCTACGAGATTCGTGCGGCTAGCTCAGAAGATTGTGTGTTCGTCCCACCAAATTTATATGACGTGATTGCCCGTAGATCAGTGAGAAAACAAAGTGTTCAAATGGTAACAGTGGGATTTATTCTCGTGGTATTGGTACAGCGGGTGTGTGGCTATGCTGGTTTCTGTGACTCCTTGTTCTGGTTCCGCCGGCTGCTGGTGCTCCTCCTTCTGGCTTCTCGACGCGTTGACTCGTCCTCCTCTGGATCCTGGGTCTCGGGACGCTCGTAGTGGCCGCCTCTGCTTGCTTGCCGACGCGTTGCCTCGGGGTCGCTTGTTGCGCCTTAGACCCGCAGAGAATTCGGCCTTGTGGGCTTAGGGAAGCGTCACCGTTCTCAGACTAGGGTGAACAAGCCTTGCTCTCCAGGCTGACGCCTTTCGAGACAATACTGTCCCTTGCTCTGTCCCGGACGGTCCCGCTAGGTTCTTGCTCAGTTCGCGCTGACAGTCAAGGCTGCCGCCCGGAGGCTGTCTAGCGGTTCACTTCGCTTTACGCCTAGCGCAGACGAACGTTCCACCCGGCTTCACCCTAATGCGTGACGTCCGCGACGCTCCTGCGCTCCCCAATGAGCTCCGCGCGGCGATGGTAACGTGGCTGCCGGAAATGTCTGCTGGCGTCGCTGTCGATGTCCTCTGCGCTGTCTTCTGGCCGGTATCTCGTTGTTCTGGCGCTCGGGGAGCTGGGCGATCGCTGCTCGGGAACTTCGCCGGTAATCGCAGGGCTCTCCAGGCTGACGCCTTTCGAAACCACAAATCGATCTACCGCTCGTCCGTCACGCCAGGTCCTGCTTGGTCGGGCAAGGTACGCTGGGTCGCAGACAACTTTCCTCCCCAAACTGACGGCTCTTCGTCGTAGGACTCTTTTGCTTGTCTCTGACAGACCCGCCGGGCGACTCGCCAGGGTGTGGTCGTGACAAAGTTAGAAAACAAACGCCTTGACTTAGCCGCGTGATGCCTTTCAGAACTCAGCCACCTGTGTCTCAATTCGGAGATTCCTGATGTCCTAATCCCGAACGTCTCGACGTGGCGATCTTGCTCCTTCTATGCTTCCCACGGCGCTGCTTCCGACGACTCGCTTGGTTGTAGCTCCCTCGTAGATTACTTGCTTGACTGATTGCTCACTTGGTACTTTGACTGATCTTGAAGGCTTGACTCCTCTTGATCGACTGATCCAGCTGCCAGCGCTCTGCGGCCTTATATAGGGCCTCCAAGCACCGTTATTTCCCTTTTGCGCACGGCCCGCTGGATCTCTCCACTCTCTCTCGATCTCCATCCTTGGTCTCCAATCTCTCTCGCTCTCCTTCATTGGTCTCCAAACTCTCTCGCTCTCCATCCTTGGTCTCCAATCTCTCTCGCTCTTCTTCATTGGTCTCCAAACTCTCTCGCTCTCCTTCGTTGGTCTCCAAACTCTCTCGTTCTCCTCGTTGGTCTCCAAACTCTCTCGATCTCCACCCTTGGTCTCCAAACTCTCTCGTTCTCCTCGCCGCGCCGTTACTACGCGAATTCGCCGCGTATCTGGTAAGCGGCCGGCCATCTGCTGCTGCTTCTATTTGTGGGGAGTTATTCAACTCCTCACATTCCCCCCTTACTTCGGGAAACATTTAAGACTGGTTCCTACTCTCCGGCGTTTTCTTGCTTATCCTAGCCTTTGAGTCCTTGTGATTCCCGCGGCGCTCCCTCGTTGCTCCCTCGATGCTCCCTCGACGCTCTTAACTCCCTTGAGTTTCTACAGCGGGGGTCATCCTCCTCGTAGCAACTTTAAATCTCCCGCGCCGATATTTCCTGTGTTCCCACTGGGACATCGATACTCCTGGGCTATCGATCCCCAGCTCGCTGCTCATTGCTGCGTCTCACTCCTTTCCGTGTTTCCACCGCCTGGTCACACCATTCGTGCGTGATCGATATTTATTCGCATATCGATACCGACGGTGCGGCGTTGCCACCTGCTCGTTTGCGATATTTCCACCTTGGCCGATATTTCCATTGTCGTGTGCCCATCGATCGCACTATCGTCCGGTGCCAATCGATCGCCTATCGAGGCGCCCCCTTCCCTGGCTCGTGGTGATTTTGCAATTTTTCATGGGTAAGTTCCTTTTACATTTCCTCTACTCCTTCTCATCTTATCCTTCTCTCTCCTTTCGTCCTCTCTCGCCCTTCACTCGTCCTCTATCGGCTGCATCGGACTCCATTTTGGCAGCTCTCGAGAGCGGGTGCGGAGAGGACTTCGCATTCACTTTGCAACCGGGACAGCAAGTAAGTAATTGGCGTTCATTTCTTCTTCCTGGACTAAGACCATTCGACTTACAGGTTGCTGGAGTGGCCCATGCATGCCCCGTTCTTCTTCCAGCCACCCCAATCAAACTCTGGGCCCCGTACCCCTTCTCTTGTTGTTTTGGAAAACCCTTGTGTTGTTTTGTGATTTTTTTTTTTATTTATTGTGCGAAAACCCGGATGCCCGCGACTCCGAGCCTCACCCGGTATCTCCTCCCGCCATCGCAGACCAGGACGCACCGCCTGCCGCCCTTCCGCCGTGCCGTCGCGACCGCGGGTGCTTCCTCAATGCCCGCCGGCCACTCGCTCCTGGCGACCTCGCGCCAACCGCCTTCCTCCGGCGCCGATACCTGCCGCATGAACTGCGGCCGCGGGCGCGTTGATCCGGGCGTCGAACTTTGTCGTTGTAGTGGAGGCCTTTGGGTGGCCGGTGGCTCGGGCCACACCCATGGTCCTTTCTCCGGTGACTCCGCCTCCCCCGTCGTTGCCGTCGTCGCCGGTGTTGGCGGGCCCGTGCTTGGTGTCGGCGGGACCCATGCATCCTGTCGGCTCCTCGTCCGGGGGTCTCGAGGGTTCACCTTCGGTGCCCCTTCCTCCCATATCCTGGGCACCTCCGTCGTCGGTCCTGTCGCGGGCCCCTCGGGCCACGTCCACGTCACCGTCTGCTGCCGCCACCGCATACCCTCGGCCTCGAACGCCCGTGTGCTGTGGCTCACGTGCGCGGCCGGCACCTCCGTCCGCACCACCGACGGCTCGTCCGCCCTTGCCTGGTGGACGTCCTCCTCCTCCGGTTGCGGCATCGGCTGCGCGGTCGACTCCTCGCTCGGCGTCTGCTCCTCAGGTCGTCGTGGCTCCGCGTATCGCGGCGTGGGTGGCCGGGCCGGCCTCCACGGCGGCGTGGCCAACGGTGCTCCATCGTCGCCGTCCGTGAGCCACTCCCCCTCGTAGCGGGGAGTGGGTGGCACCTCGGGTAACCACCGCGGAGGGGATGGCGCGCGTGGTTCGTCCTCGTCCTCGTCCCTCGGGCTGCGTTCCTCGGCCGCGTATCTGGGGGTGAGTGGCACCTCCCACGCGTCCTCCACCTGTGCCTCCCACAGCCGCCGCTCTTCTTCTTCCGCCTCTCGCAAGCGGGCATGCCACCGCGCCGCCGCCGCCTCGTGGTCCTGCCGCAGCCGCGCCTGTCTTCTCGCCTCCTCCTCCGTCGACCGTTGCTGCTCCTCGTCCGACGGCTCCCGGTCTCGGAACCGCTTCCGAGACTCCTCGGTGGCCCGACAGACCGCCTCCGAGTGGCTCCTCGGGAGTTCCTCTCCTCCGACGTCCGTCGTCCCGCGCGGTATGCGACCGCCCGCCGCCGCCTTCCGGAGTCGCCACTCTCTCTCCTCGACGGCGGGATCGCCGATCACCTCCACGTCGCTGTCGTCGCTCACCGTGGGTTCCGGTGCGGAGTCCTCGCCTCGAGTCCGCTCCAGGGCCCGCCGCGGAGCTCGGGTAGGCCGGGTCTCCGACCATCCTTGCCCCGGGCGAGGTTCCTGGAGGGCCGCCATCCTCCTGCGTGTTTCGGCTCTGGTGACGCGTGTGCTCATGATGATGTTCTGAATTTTAGTGCTCGACCGTCGCCAGGCTCCCCATACATGAAACCTCGGTTGCGCGCCTTCCTTTTGCCCGATACCGTTATGTCCTTTCTTTGGGCGCTCGCTCTCTTACGGTACAGCTCTCTTTGCTGTACCGTCTTCCCCCTTTCTTCGTAAACCACATGTTGTATTCCCTCAGATCACCGTGGCCCTCTGGATGCTGCGGTGCGTTGTACCTCCCGGTTCCGTAATTGACTTGATCACCTTTGGTGAGTATTCTTGGAAGTTGTCCTTGGGCCTACACCTTGCTTCGGGGCGTTCCTGGTTGGTATCCTTGGTGTCCTTGGGTTATTATTGGGGTATCCTTGAGGTGTCTTTCGAGTCCTATTGGGGTATCCTTAGGTATCCTTGGGGATCGTTGGGCCATCCCTAGTGTATCCTTTGGGTGTCCTTTGGGTACACTTAGAGGTATTGTTGGGGCGTCCTTCGGGTATAGTTTGGGAACACTTAGGGTATCCTTCGGGTATAGTTTGGGCACACTTAGGGTATCCTTCGGGTGTCCTTTGGGTATCCTTTAGAGGTGTTGTTGGGGTGTTCTTTGGGTATATTTCGGTCACACTTAGGGTATCCTTCGGGGTCCTTTGGGTACGTGATGTGCTTTCGCTACTGTTTTGTCGACCATGACCGTTTCCTTCCCGCTTGGCCTAAACCCGGATGACTCTGGCAACTGCCCGACGCTGAATCCTGATGCCTTGCGGTTGGATCCCTACATGTTACCCGTGTCTTTGTGTCGTCCTCGTAAGTGTCCCTTCTGCCTGGCGTAAACGCGGATGACTCTGGCCACTGCCCGACGCTGAATCCTGATGCCTTGCGGTTGGATCCCCATCCATCCTTATCCACGTCCTTGTGACCTATCCTTGTAATTATCCTTTCTGCGTGGCGTGTGGATGACTCTTGCTTAGGCCTGACGCTGAATCCTGATGCCTTGTGGTTGGATCCCCATCCATCCTTATCCACGTCCTTGTGACCTATCCTTGTAATTGTCCTTTCTGCGTGGCGTGTGGATGACTCTCGCTTAGGCCTGACGCTGAATCCTGATGCCTCGCGGTTGGATCCCCATCCATCCTTATCCACGTCCTTGTGACCTATCCTTGTAATTGTCCTTTCTGCGTGGCGTGTGGATGACTCTCGCTTAGGCCTGACGCTGAATCCTGATGCCTCGCGGTTGGATCCTCATTCATCCTTATCCATGTCCTTGTGACCTATCCTTGTAATTGTCCTTTCTGCGTGGCGTGTGGATGACTCTCGCTTAGGCCTGACGCTGAATCCTGGTGCCTCGCGGTTGGATCCTCATTCATCCTTATCCATGTCCTTGTGACCTATCCTTGTAATTGTCCTTTCTGCGTGGCGTGTGGATGACTCTCGCTTAGGCCTGACGCTGAATCCTGATGTCTTGTAGACTGGATCAACGTGAACTCCTTATCCATGTCCTTGCGACCTATCCTTATGGTTGATCTTTCTGCGTGGCTTGTGGATGACTCTCGCTTAGGCCTGACGCATAATCCTGTAGCCTCGCAGTCTGGATCGACGTGAAATCCTTATCCATGTCCCTGCGACCTATCCTTATGGTTGATCTTTCTGCGTGGCTTGTGGATGACTCTCGCTTAGGCCTGACGCATAATCCTGTAGCCTCGCAGTCTGGGTCAACGTGAAATCCTTCTCCATGTCCTTGTGCTACGCTGACTGTCCTTTCCGTGTGGCGTATTGGTGACTCTCGCTTCGGCCTGACGCCTAATCCTGTCGCCTCGTACCTGACGTTTCTGCTGTCTGCTCGTTTTGTTGTTGCTTGAGCTCGCCAACGTGAACTGTCCTTTCTTTTTTCGACTGTGTGTGGCGAATTTTGCAGATCACTGGAGAGACGAAATCTACCACCTGGTAAGGGCCATCGTACCTCGGGGCTAGTTTTGCAGCGAATCCTTCTGCCGCTTTGGACAGGTGATGTTCCTTGGCCCACACTATATCGCCCACCGCTGGTGACCACTGTCTCCTTCTCAGATTGTAGTGTCTGGCTTGGTCCTGGGACGCCTTTTCCATATTTCGCCGCACGATCTCGAATACCTCTCTTAGTTTGTTGGCATTTTCCTCAGGGGTCTCCGTAGCTCGTCCGGTTCCTAGGGTTTCCTTATCGTATAGGCTGCTGGGTAGACGTGGTTCCCTTCCCTGGGTAAGAAACGCCGGTGTATGGCCGGTGGATTCCGATGTGCTCGTGTTCACTGCTAGCATAATCTCCGGCCACTTCTCGTCCCAGTTTCTCTGGTCCTGCCCTGCGAACTGGGCAATCATGGTCTTGACCGTTCTGTTTGCTCGTTCGGTTGGATTCTCTTGTGGTGTGTATGGCGCGGTGAATTGTTGACTGATACCCATCTCAGCCAGGAAATTTTTAAATATGCGGCTTGCAAACTGTACTCCATTGTCCGTTATGACCACCTTCGGGACCCCGTACCTTGCGATTATGCGCTCCCTAAATGCCTTTTTGAGCGACTCTGCCGTCGCACTGCGTAGGGGCACCAGTTCCGTCCATTTCGAAAACCTGTCTATCATGACCAGCAGCATTTGGTTCCCGTGCTTAGATCTTGGTAGGGGTCCAACGAAGTCTGCACATACCGTGGCCCATGGTTCCTCCGGCACTTGGGTCAACATCTTCCCAGCCGCCTGCATCTGATTGGGCTTAAACCGCATGCAAATCTCGCATTTTCGTACGTGGGCTCGGGCGTCTCTATGCATGCCTGGCCAGTAGTATCGGGCTGCCAACCGTGCAATTGTCCTTCGGCTTCCTACGTGTCCCGCGGACGGTGCGTCGTGGTTTTCCCTCAACACTGTTTCTCGTAGCGACTTCGGGACGCACATCTTCCATGACGCGACGTCTTCACTGCCTGCTCGGTGAGGTATGTTTCTGTACAGTGTCTCACCATCCATAACATAGTCCGGGTACTTCTGCGGTTGGGTTCTTATCTTTTCGCCCATGTCCTTGATCCAGCTGCACTCTCCTGAAGTTATTGTTGCCGATGCCTCTTTTACTTCTCGTAGCGTCTCTGGTAGTGGTTGTCTTGATAATGCGTCGGCCACCACGTTTAGCTGGCCCTTTCTGTACGCTATCTCAAAGTCGTACTGTTGTAGCTCCAGGGCCCATCTGGCGATCCTTCCTGAAGGGCTTTCGATGCTGTTGAGCCACTTCAGGGCCATGTGGTCGGTTACTACCTTAAAGTGGTAACCTTCCAGATATGGCCTGAGCTTCCGGATCGCCCAGACGATCGCCAAGCACTCCTTCTCCGTTGTCGAGTAGTTCTTTTCCGCGCCGTTCAGTGTTCGGCTCGAGTAGGAGATTACTCTTTCGCCCTTTTCGGTGTCCTGGGTCAGTATCGCTCCGATGCCGTAGTCGCTGGCGTCTGTTTGCAGGATGAAAGTTCTACTGAAGTCCGGGCATGCTAGCACTGGATCTGCCACGAGTCTTGCCTTAACCTCCTCAAACGCCATCTGGTGCTCTGGTGTCCACTCCCACTTACTGCCTTTGCGTAGCAGGTCGTTCAGGGGTTTGACGATTCTGGAAAAATCTGGTACAAACCGGCGGTACCACGACGCTACTCCTAGATATTGCCGGAGCTCTTTGACAGTCGATGGCAGTTCTAGTTCGGCGATGGCGGCTACTTTTTCTGGATCTGTTCCTATTCCCTCGCTAGTCACTCGATGACCCAGGTACAGCAGCTCCTTTTTGAAGAATTGGCATTTTTCTGGATTCAGCCTCAGATTTGCCTCCTTTAGACGCCGGAACACTTCCTTCAGGTTTCTTTTGTGTTCTTCCAGCGTGCGACCGATCACTATTATGTCATCCTGGTAAGCGAATGCGTGAGGTGACATCTCGGGGCCGATTACTTGGTCCAAGACTCGCTGAAACGTTGCCGACGCCGAGTGAAGTCCGAACGGCATTACCCTCCACTGAAACAGACCTTTGCCTGGTACCGTAAATGCTGTATATTGCCTGCTACTTTCTTCTAGTGGGATCTGCCAGTATCCATCCTTCAGGTCCAAACTGCTGATGTACCGCGCTTCTCTTAGTTGATCTAGGATGTAGTTTATGCGGGGCATTGGGTAGGCATCCTTCACTGACTTCGCGTTGATCTGCCTGAAGTCGACACACAGTCTCCACTTGCCTGTCTTCTTTTTCACCATCACGATGGGGGAGCTGTATGGGCTCTTTGAATGCTCTATGAACCCCATTTGGAGAAGCTCGTCCACCTTTGCGTTGATTTCCCCTTGAATTTTTGGGTTCTTTGGGTAGTATCTCTGCTTGATTGGCTTGTCGTCCTTCATTTTGATCTGGTGTTTTGCCATATTCGATGTTCCCGACATTGTGCTGAAGTCTGCCAGCTCTGTTTCAAGGAACGCTGTAGTATCGTCCAACTCGTTTACTTGTTGAACGACTGCTACTGATAGCTTTTCCTCGAGCCACCCATTGTGTCGGTTCCTGGCTGGTATTATTATTTCGTGTCCAGCACACCTTATCTCGGTTCCGACTTGTTTCAGGAAGTTCCATCCCAACACTAATGGATCCACTACCCCGGGTAAAATCAACAGGCTCATGGTCACTTGTTTGTTGCCGAATTTGACCTCCACCTCGAGCTGCGCATTAATTCCGCCGCACCTTCCATCTGCCAACCTAACTTGCCGTCTCGTCCTTGTAATCTTTCCTAGAGCAGCAATATTGTCCGCCAATTCTTCGCTAACGAAGCTTGCCGTTGCTCCGGTGTCGATTGTGGCTTTGTAGCTTTTCCCACCAATCATCACAGCTGCGGACAACTGCTGCTCCTCCTCGATTAGCTCGCCCGTTAGTTTGGAGATGTGGCATTGTGCGATCCCCGCTCGCCTCTCTGCGGCTGAGATCGCTGGCCGTTTCCCGATCGTTGGCAGCAATCGAC